AAATGACAGGATTGTTTTCTAAGGTAGAAAATGTGCCGCTGCCTAGCTGGCTAGGCAGAGGTTCTGTTATATTGGAGCCATCAGCCACAGCCTGAAAACAATTGCGTTGTAGTGTTTCTTAAACATCATAAAGTTTGTTCCTTTTCCCTTTTTTAAGAAAAAAGACTATTACTTCCTTTAAAAATTTGGAAATAAAAGCATTATCCTTTGTTTCCTGACAATATAAAGCACACTGCATTCAATTCCAACTAGAATATTTTTCCAAAAGCCTACCTAATCCCTATAACATACAAATTGCTTTATATTTACACACACACACACACACACACACACACACACACACACTCCTCTTACACCATTAAACAAATACTTCATAAGAAGTATATTCAGTAGTAAACACACACCAGCTTTCAGGAGTACAGGAAAGTAAAAAAGTTATTTGCAAAAGTTATTCACCAATGTATACAAAAAAAAAAAATGCAATCAGAACAACTCCAAGACTAATCTTCTCATTCAATGATTACGTCCCGGCTACCAACACAAAGAGCCGGTGAAGAGGGCCCTGCCCCTGGGACATCCTAGTCTCCTACATCTAAATTTTTCTCTGCCCATGTAATCCTAAGAAACAGAGATAGAAGCAAATTTGGTGAAAACCATGGAGTTCAGGTAGTTTAGTTTTTGAGGGCTTCACTGACTGGACACAGTAAGTAGGAGGTAATGGTGAATCACTGTCTCCTTCGCATGCACAGGTTAAGCACTACCAAAGCACAGCACCCCATTTTTCCTATCTAGCAAAACTAGCTGTGCCCTGTATGCTCCACTCCCTGGGTCTCTCTGGACCTCTGGAGCCGCATCTCCTACTGGGAGAAGTATTTTGGGTTTCTCAAATCAAAAGCACTCCAAAGCAAAGAGTACTGGAATATAAGAAATATATGCTCTTGTTTTATAAAATAACATTTGTAAGAGTCTCAGCAGATTTATGTCATTGCACCATGCAATTATGATTTTATTTAAACAAATAATTAAATATTATTGCTTTGGATAATAATATCTGATGTAGTTCAGTTCTTGTAAATACTTTTAAATAAAATCCACTAAAATATTTACTATGATTAAGTGTCCTCTGGTGCAGATTCGTTTTGGCACAAGTATCACAAAGTCACATGACAGGCCTCATCAATAACAGTATTTACTGTACTCTTGAAGATAAGAATAGAGTAACTGAAAGTCTTCAGTCTTTCAAATGACGTCAAAAAGAAAATTAGCATAGCATGTAAGAAATGCATGAACTTGTATAAGAAATTAGCAAGCCTGAAGGTGAAAGTATAGTGGACATAAATGTGTTTAAGAGACAAAGGAAGGAAGGGAGGGAGGGAGGAAAAGAAAAGCATTCTGAAGACCATGTAACCAAAGTAGCATGATAGCTTTCTGAAACATAATGTAAACATATTGGAACTCTTTTATTATTCTAAATTATGAAGATACAGAACACTAATTCTGCTAAGTATTGAAATGATTCTTACTAATTTAATCACTTAATATCTGAAAAAGTACAGGTTATAGTTTTGAATGTATATGGGATCAGGAGTTTACATTGGAATTAATTCTATCAAATAAAGAGGATCTGGTTGATGATGTGAAGTTGAGAGAATCAAATTCTTTAAATATATATATATATATATATATAATTGATTTTTTTACAGAGAAGAAGGGAGAGAGATAGAGAGTTAGAAACATTGATGAGAGAGAAACGTCGATCAGCTGCCTCTTGCACACCCCCTATTGGGGATGGATGTGCCCGTGTGCCCGTAACCAATGTAAGTGCCCTTGCCCAGAATCGAACCTGGGACCTTTCAGTCCGCAGGCCAGACCGGTTTTGACTGAGAAACATATTCTTAATAATCCTTGTGAAACATGAAAATGGGAGATAGGAAATAAGTAAAGGAGGCAGGAGGGGAAAGACTTCCCAAGTTGTCTAAAACGAAAAGAATATATGCTGATACCTACAAACTTTGTATCAAACTCCAGCCTAAAAAAAATAATAAATATTATAAAAAATAACTAGCAAGAAGCAAAAGATTAACTCATGTCAAACTTACCTGATTTCTGTGATGAAATAATTTTGCATCATTGGTTAGTTGAATGGGGGAGTTTATAAATAAACATTATACCTTAAATTCAGCAAATAATTTAACAAAATTTATAATATAACCTTGTGAATAAAATGATAATCTGAGATTGTACTGTTGGGTGGTTCCTAGCTTTTCCATACTAATGTCAGTGAACTGTGAGGAAAGTTCTCATTGAGGGTCACACTGAGGTTTTAATTGTACTTAAAATAAGTGATAAAACTTTTCTAGTGGCAAAATGTTAGAAGCAGTAAAGCTATCAAAAATAGGTATTATAAAAAAAAGTTAAGTCAGACTGTGTCAAGCACACAGAGTCAATATATATCTGACAGAATAACAAATTAACTAAACCACAAATTGATGTTTATTAAGCTTAAAATCCCACATTTAAGTAAAAATAAACAAAAAGTCATAATTAGCATACATAGTGTAGAGTAGGAAAACTAGTTTAATTAATCACATATAATAAAGGTCCACTTACTATATTTTATCTAAACTTTTGAAATACAAAATCTTTGAAAACAAAGTTTTGTACAAAGTTGGTCATCAAAATTCATTTAGAAGTTAAACCTGACCTGCATTAACTTGAGATTACTTATAGTCTATATGTATCCACTTTTAGCGATTAATAATTTTGTAATAAAACGTCTGAATAATTATCAGGTGTTTTATATAAATATGACATAAGGACTATATCAAATCCCTAGACTTGAAAAATTCTGAATTTTGAAGCAATTTGACCTCAAATGTTAGAATAGAAGGCTTTGGAACTATATTAAATGAAAGTATGCCCAAGTACTAAAACAAAAGGAAATCTTGATCAAAATAATGGAAGCATTAGTCTTCAATAATGGAAAAATAAATACTAATTTAATCTGTTGGGACACTATGTGCAATATTCCTTCCAGCACTATACATTAAGGAGAATGCTCAATTTATTTAGTATCTAACAACATTCTTGGTACATGTTAGGTCCTACCTAAATATTTGTTGAATGAACAAGAATAGTGCATCCTTTTAAAAACCAAATATATCAACTTATCCAAACTCAAAGATCTCTTCTATTCCCAACCTATTCTGGTTTTAACCTCCAACCCTCATACTTCCTAGTAATCCACAAATGACAATATTCTTGGCTGCCTTAGAGATTTTGCTCATGATGCTTTGTCAATGGAAATGCCCATTCTACTAAATTCACCTGATGAAATCCTACCTATTTTCAAAGACATAAGGCCTGTGTTTTTGAAAAAACATCCAAAATTCCTCTGAAAGAAAGATTCAATCTCTCTTACTGTATGCACTCAAGATCACATTCTGGAATAAACATTATTTTTATATATGTCTCGATTCCCAAACAAATTTCAGATTTCTTAAAAGCAAAAGCTACACTTTGTACACCACCTGCTCCCTTGGTTAGTATTACCTGATGCCATTACTTGTACATATTTATAACAAAAATTACTTATATAAATCAAAATGAGTAGGAATTTAAAAAAGACTGAAAAATAAATTTTAATTATAGGAATTAAAAGAATATATAAATACTGGCAAAAGTGCTGAGAGCATTATCTGTTTTTGCTGGCCAATACATCTTCAGTGTTAGCAATTCCCAACACTCAAATTGTTGAACAAATGAACTAATGTCTAACATGAGGAAGAGAAAGACCAGCATATGAATGATAAGTAGAGCTGTTATATGTTGTTGCAGAAGCACAACTCCAAATCATGCGTACATTTAAACAGAGGTACCATTAAATATAAACCACAGCGGTCTAGTAATGAAAAAGTCTGCTTCAACCACTACCTCCTTCTCTCTCCCTGTGATCTTAGCAAAGGGTAAGTGATCTCTTGGGAATATTCCAGGAATACTTTCTCAAATTGGATTTCCTACATGGTTGAACTCAGATATTTCTGAAATAACCCCCAACTCATCGAAGTAAAATGATAAGATTTAGACATTTTTTGTCTTTTAAATATCATGACAGAATCATACAACATGAAATACAACTTTAGCTTGGCACTGTAAAATAAATATGAATCTCATCACTTATTTATCCTTAAAAACATAAGCTATTGCACCTGAATGAATCCAAAGTCCTCTGAAGCTGAGGTGAATGGTGTTCACGGTCGTGCTGACACATAATGAGAACACTGTTGTTACCACTAACAGTGGTGTGTTTCTCAACAAAACTCGCTCTTGAGACATATCAAAAGGTTTTAAACAATTTTTCTTACATTGATACAATAGCAAATAGTGCTAATATATTTTTTAAAAATGATAAAACTGGCGTAATTCTAGACAAATTTCCAAAAACTAAAAAGCTTCAAATAGGCTGACTTGGTAGAGAAAATGAACACACATGTGTATGTGCATTTATATATTCCTATACATATGTGTATGTATGTATGCTTTCAAAAACACTTTCATATATTTAAGAAATTAGATTCATCAACTATTGGAAGCAGGGAAATAACATACTTATACCGAGAAATAGAGGCTCTGAGGTGTGTTCTCCAGTCCTTACTCCTAGTAAAGGTCAGAGAAAGACTTCAGTTCCTAACCCTGAATCTGTCCCCCCACTGGGTGACACCTCAGAACATGATGTCATCCAAGTCAAAGGCTGAAGCAAAGAATAGGCTCATTAAAGCCAGTGTACAATAGACCAGCATTTCTTAATGTATTGCTTGACAAGGAACTTATCAAACTTGAAGATGTATTCTAACTACAGAGAATTGTTTAAGCACCGTATATAATAGATAACTCCTTCCTCGAGTGTACTGAGGGCTTTAAATTCTTTTTGATTACTAGTTCACCTTCCTTATACAGACCCACGCAGTCAGCTCTTCCCCAACACATTCTCGCGTACAAACCTCATCTCCTTCCTGAGGTCGCATCAAGGACACCCGGTCATACTGCCGCCGCAGCAAAGCCCAGAGCGCGTCCAGCCGACCCTAAAGGGAACACGACTTGTCAATCCCTAAGGAGCACACTCAATCCCTAGTGGGAGAATACGTGAGTTAAAATGAAGATGGTACAGCCTATTCTCTACTCTCGCTTTTTTCACAAATTAAAATAAAGAATAAGTTAAGTAATAAGAAGAGGAGGTCCTTGTTGCTGAGAAAATTTTTAGTCGTTAAATACAGACTGCATGCCTGCTATGTGATGGGCCTGGGTCCTCCTTCAGAGACTTGGGTAGGGAGGACAAAAAGAGTTACACTTTCTCTGGGAAATTTCAGTTAAATGACACAAAACTTGGGCAGTACCTTAATCGGGGTGTACCACTTTGTCTGAGGAGGCTGGTACGAGGGTCTGGGTCGAGGTGGCCTGGGCCTGATGGGTTCCTCTGGTTCTTCAGGGATTGTCACCACAGCATTTTTGGCTTTCTCGAGCCTTGCACCTTCCTCAGTAGATCCTTTATCACCCCAGCGAACCTTTCAAACAAAGGGGGGAAAGTTATCTTAGACATACAGTGTCTTGGAAAAATAAGTTCCGATTTAACCAATGGTCCTTCAGTTTACCACCTCAGAGGAGAAGGAAGATGTGTAGGCAAACTAATTGTAAATTTCTCCTCTTCTGAGATTTAATAGGTTTATCACCATTACTTATGTACTTAACATTAAGATTCCAGAAAAAAATAAAAGACCCTTTGTATAAATCTGGAGTTAATTAAAATTTGAAGCATCCATTTCTCCATTGTTTCAGATAAGGAGTTAATTGGTAGTTCCTAAAGCATGATAGTCTGTAATCCTATTCTTTAATTGGATAGGGTCCTCTTCCAGCTAAACACAAACCCATATATACTGATGAAACTGAGGGAAATAGATAATAAAAATGATAATTAGAATTTATTGAATGCTTACTATGTGCCGATCTGCATTTAGTCCATAGGAAAATGTAATGAGATATTGTATTTTGCCTTCCAGATGAGGGAACTGAGACCCAGAGAGGTTAAGTGACATACCCAAAGCCACACAGCTAGCAAGTAGCAGGGCAGGGATTTTAATGCAGATAGTCTGAAATAGGCTAATACGTTTCAAATAGGTTTGAATTTTATTAATGTATTTTACACAAAGGAGTTCACTGTTCTTTCCAAACTTTTCATAAAGTTTGATTGAGGCAAAATGTATGATTTAAACATTTAGCCTTCAGAAGTAAAATTATTACATGTAATTTCCTTACTTTTATAAAGCTTGATTTTATAAAGTAATTTTCAGTCTTTAGTTCCTGTTCTCATTTTCTCATCTGAGTATGGTTACTTGATATAACAGTTTTTCATTGAGGAAGAACATAGCTGAAAAAAAGCTTCTGTTATGGAAAGAACATTTAAGAAACACCAGAGATTTTCACAAATTTTAGGAAATTTCGTTCTCTGACAATTCTGGACGTTGAAAAACCACAGAGTCAACCAACTGTTTTCTCTGTTTCAAAAGGAACAAGAAATAAGAGCTAAATCTGAGCTCAACTTCTTCATGTGTTGGCATGGAACAAGATGCAGCCCAAGGACATTATCAAAGATGACAGAGACAGCATAAATGAAGCTCTGAAAAGAAATAGGAGGGCCCGTCCAGGGCACACTGACCCAGCAGAGTTAAGTGATTTCTACAAAGAAAAAAAATTGTTAAATCCATTTTAAAGCATTTTAATGGCCTTAGTGTGTGGGAGTACAGATAATCCCTCTTTATAGAAAGAACTATTCGCAGCTTTTTGGTAAGGCTTACTTAGATGTTTTGAGCCATTTTTAATACAGTTTTAGAATAGGCTTTCCATTTCAATTGGGCCCTATTGACTCATTAAAAATGTATCTATATCTCTCAGTGTGATCAGTGGTACTGGAATGTTCTTTATGAGGGTGTTAAAATTGCTTTAAACACCATTAAACCTTTAGAACTAGATAGCTGGCGCTCCTTCCAAAGAAATGACCTTCTCTTTCAAATCACAGCACCGTCACCTGGATAAACTAAGACTTGTACAATCTCTAGAACAGTTAAAGTGAACTACAAAATCTTAAAAGCAGGATACATATCCTTGCAGTTGTAAAGTCTCAATTCTAAGGGGAAAAACAAAACAAAAAAATGGAAAAAGATGCACAGTTAAGTAAACATATAAGTATCATAACTCAGAAAATAATCAGAATAGAAACGTAAGAAGATATATTTTAGATCTATTTAGAAATGACAGATTTTAGCATACACAGCTCCTCAGCCTAACCTTCACAGCTGGTATTACAAAAATAGTGTTTTCCTTCTAAGTTTCACTGAAAACCCATTCTCAGATAAAGAACCCCAAGCTGGTTAAACTGGAGTTCTAACCCAATGTGGCATTTCCAGGAACTCAACTATCAAGACACTACACTTATGAAATATGTTTCTGAGTTTTAAAGGAAATTCCTTAAATAAATCTACTAGTGTTAGTTCATGAAGTAGCTGTTTAAATCATCACCACCATCAGACAAACATCAAAACAAATTCTCTCACTTCATCTCAAAGTTTAACTCTATAATTTTCCTAAAACTCTTAAAAGCAGTTAAATATGTACACAAGTATATGTATACATTTTAACATTTTAGTTTGACCACATTGAGATGGTCACAAAGGATAAAAGAATTACAAGACTAGATCACCAAAGGGAGACTTAGCAGAGTTCATATGAATTTTTAATTTTTTTTGGGGGGGGGAGGGAGGGAAGGAATAAGCACAAGCTAGATAATTAAGTTCTTCCAACTCTGCTTGACTTTCATGATAAATGATAATATTCCATAATTTTCAGAGCATATTTAGATGATTAGGAGGTTATATTATAAAGGAGCAATTTCAGAATCAAGAAAAAAAACAAAAACAATTTCACGCTGAATTGGCAGAAACACACATTTGAAGTCATTAGATATTGTGGATCAGCTATACTAACAGCTGTTATTAACATCAGCTCAATTCCAGTTTTCTGCAAATTTCCATTATCATATGTCTAAGTAAAATCCCTATACCGGCTTAAAATAGCACTAGTTATGAAGATTTGTTCCATAATTCAGATGTGGTCATAATTTCTAGAATTCCTTTTACTTTCCCCAGTTCAACATATTTTTTTAAAAAGAATATGCTTTCCAGGTTTGAATAGGCAAAATTTTAAAGCAGATTATGTGTTCTTTTTTCCCTCTCCAACTTTAAGGAAGTTCATATTTGAGAAAGTTTAATGATGTTTAATGATCACTTCAATTTTTATTATGTATTTTTAGGTATTTCATTTCCCCTTTGTAATGTCCACATTTAATTTTTCACTTTTTGTCATTCCCATCCCCATTTCAATCTTATTGATGGAATACACCATAAAATGTAGTCAGAATTTATCGAAAGCTAAAAAGGACCTCAATTATTAAAAGTGGGTGAGCCCTTATCATAATTTTTCTCAACTGAATAGAAAATATAATTTCACATATTAAGAGAATAATGCTTAAAACTTAAAATACAAGTTATTAAAGAATGTGTGTGAGTCCTTGGCTTCCTTGATCATAAGACAATAATATACTCTTTAACTTAGGACCTGTTCAGCTCATGCCTATGCTTTTCTTTACAAAAAGATCTCAATCTTTGGGACACTGAAATATTGAACTAGCAAAAATCTTGCATAATTCCTAGAATTTTAACTAGAACATTACTTTCTCATCAAAAATATACTAATGTATTACATACTAACACATCTTGTTGTTATGTGGTATTTTACAAGTGTAGATTTCAAAATGAAATTAAATTTATTATTCTGAATACAGGGTTGGGCAAAAGTAGATTTATAGTTGTTTGTATAGAAAATAATAACACGCCCTAATCGGTTTGGCTCAGTGGATAGAGCATCGGCCTGCGGACTGAGGGGTCCCAGGTTCAATTCCGGTCAAGGGCATGTACCTTGGTTGGGGGCACATCCCCAGTAGGGGGTGTGCAGGAGGCACCTGATCAATGTTTCTCTCTCATCGATTTTTCTAACTCTCTATCCCTCTCCCTTCCTCTCTGTAAAAAATTAATAAAATATATTTTTAAAAAGAAAGAAAATAATAACATAATAATCAACTATTTCACATACTCAGAACTATAAACCTACTTTTACCTCACCCTTCTAAGTTCAATATCAAATAAATTAGAAAATAATGGAGAAATATATAGCACAAATTGAAAATCACTCCATGCAGAGAAAACTATTCTAACATTTTGTGGTATATCATGTCAAAACTTTTTTTTCCCTTCGCAAACATCTTTTTACACATTCATTTTAAAATGAGGCTAACTAAACTAAAATAAGTTGTGATATCAGATATATAGCTATCCAAATGTAACACTTATTTATAAGTGTATTTTTTATATGCACAGGAATATCTAATCCACTCTTTCCCACCCCTCTAAGGCTAGATTGACATAGCAAAGTTAGGCTGAAGGAAAATGACCTTCCTTCTGTATCAAGCAACAAGAACTAGCCCCACTAAGCTCTTCATGCTACTTGATATTCCCAATTACCCACCGGCAAACACAGGTGCACTCTTCTCTCCTAAAGACAAACTTAACAGATTTTAGCGCTTGCCTTTCCCACAGCTTATTGGCAATGAGGTACTTGTCTCAGAAAATATTTCAGCAATACAGTGGCAAGCTTTTATGGATAATGTGCATTATTTTAACATGTAATGTGCTCAAGAAAGTGACAATCACGATCAGATGACTTGAATAACCATTTCAATAGTGACAACCACAACCATATTAAGTAGGCCTAGGCTTTTTTTTTTGAAAACTACTGAAATTTATTCTAAAAAGAGGCAACGTTTTATTGGGAATCTGAAATTTATTGAAGTGTATAAGAAAGAAAATTGCAACAGTTTTGAGGTTGGTAGTTAGCTAATTGACTTCTGCTGGCAGTGATGGGAACAAAACAAATATGACAGAAGACACATGCCATGACTGCACAACATAAAATAAATTCTTTATCGAGAAGTAAAATTAAAGGATATCCAATAAGGAGAAAAAGTGAAGATCTGAGTTTAATAATAACAGCAGTATATCAATGAAAAATTCTTTCAGTTCTCGTTGGGGTGAGATGCTGGCCTATTTGAACTATTTAAGGGCTCAGTGCAGGCAATGACTGCATATTATTAATTAACTAGAGGCCTGGTGCATGAAACTCATATCCACAATTTGAGTCAGTCAAAAAGTTCAATGCATTCTATTAAAAGATATTTAATATTAATTATGATTGTTCATAAGTGGTAACTAAAAGCTGTATTTTAAAAAAAGCCTTATATTGTTTCCTCTACATTTGTGATAAGGTCATATCCATACTATTGAATATTTTAACATTTTTCTCCTCAAACAGTACATAACTATTAGATCTTTTCAAAGATGAGTATTGTTGCAATTTTAAGTGGCTGGCTTCTTTAAAATTGATGTTCTCTGCAGTCATTTTTTCCAAAATAGAGAGAAAAACCCTAACTTTGTTTCACCCTTTAGAATTCAGACATGGTATCAATGCAGTTCTTTGACTCTTGAAGTTAGTTCTTCTTGGAGAGTTTTGAAATGGCTAAGATGCTTCCACAGATAAAGAATATCTGCAAAAGACCCAGTGTTAAGTAAAAAAAAATGGATGTATTGTGATACTGAATTATAAAAAGTACAGTTTCCATGGCTTCATAGTTCTAGAAATTCATATTCCAAATCAGTGGCTTCTATTTTTTTAAAGATACCAACCTCCATTCTTTTAATTCCTCCAACCCCTCGGCCGCCATAATAGGAAGCATCCACCGTTGGCCATTTCTTGTTTGGCAGAGGATCCTCTTCCTCCTGCTTAGATACAATTTTTAAAAATTTGTTCAATTACATTCTTTAAATATTGCTTAGTCAGGACTGGGTCACACTGAACCACTTTTATGAATAATGCAATTCCTGTGTAAGAAACACAGCACAAGTTATACTATATGAGACATGGAGAGGTATGGATGCTTACAGCATAAATTTCCCCTGAAGTTCCAGAGCGTAGGAGGACTCCTTCCTTTCCACAACTTTAGGAATCCCCCTTATTCACTTAGTTACCAGAAGCTGATAAGAGCATAATTTGTGTGTGCTTTTTTCTATTCCTCATTTGATATTTAAAAAGATAAAACATTGAAATTTGGGAGAGCATTTCAATAGTCACATAAAGCATCCAAGTATGTGTATGTTTGAGTTCTGTGAAGTTCGTACTAAAAAGATAGGTAGCTAAGAAGCTTTAAAGAGGCACAAGACAGTACATTCTGTATTTCACGTTGCTAACACAATTTTGGCTGACAAACAGTTACTTAAAGTGCAACAGTCCGCTTTTAGCTTTGATCCCCTCCAAAAAACCCCATTAGATGGCTGAAATTATGGATATTATCAAACCTAGTATATATGATTTTTTTTCTATACATACATGCCTATGATATAGTTTAATTTATAGATTAGGAAAATTCATGGTTTTCTTACTGTTGATCTTAGTAACCTCAGCATTTTTTTTTCTTTTCTTATTAAGAATTTTCACGTTTTCACACAAAGGAAGCACTTTGCAGCTTCTCTTTGACATTTCCAAACTGCCAGCATCACTAGACTCGCACTTTGGGGCCATTACTAAATAAACTAAGGGCTGTGTGAACACAAGCTGCAACGCTGAGACAGCAGTTTGGTAGCTGAGACGGCTACTGCGTGACTAACAGGCGGGTATACAGCAGGGATACACTGGACAAAGGCATCCGGCAGGACAGAATGGGGTGGTGTGGACTTCATCACCCTGCTCAGAATGGCATGTAAATGAAAATGTTTAATTGCTTATTTCTGGAATTTTCCAATTAATATTTTCAGACCTCAGATGACCACAGTTGACCACTGGTAACTGAAGCAACAGGAAGAGAAACCATCAATAAGGGAGACTACTGCATTACTCATTTTGAAGAAAGTAATAACATCTTGGAACTGCCAGTTTGCAGTTTCGAAGTTTTTTAAGACAAAATAAGTGACGTCAGAACTATCGATATATTGCTATAAGAAGTAAATTAAATCTCTGTGCTGTTGATCTCGTCTAGCACATGTAAGAAATCATAAGAGGACAAACAATAACTATTGATTTTCATGAATTCAAAAGTCAATTCAGGAGTGTCATAGTTATCTGATAATAATGTAATTGGTCAAATTTGGTGATAATATCTAAAAAAAACACTAACATCCCTTATTAAGCACTCATTTACCTCTACTGGTGCAGGGGGTGGTGGTGGAGGAGGATCCTTGATAACCTGTCCAAAAACAAAAACAAAAAAATTAAATGTAAAAACGTGTGTCATGGGAGAGGAAACAGTAAGGATGTATAAAATAATTAGATTAGTAAAATACTGTGTTAGCACCAATGACATCCCCAGTGATCCTTAACACTCCATCCTCTCCTTCCCCCGCCCCCCACTCCACACCCCTATCCAGCATGTAAGCTTCTCCCTGTGAATCTGGACTTTCCTATAACTAGCATGAGGTACAAGTGATACCATGTGACTTCTGAGGCTAGGTCAAAGAAGGGTTTCACTTCCCCTGACACCCTTGGAACACTCATTCTAGGGGAAGCCTGCTGTCCATGTTATGTCTGTCCTGAAACCATCAAGCTGTGAGGATGCCCAGGATAAGGTTATGGCATGGTTAGGTGGTGAGAGACAGGCACATGGCCAGCCCCCAGCTGTGCCAGCCTTCCCAGCTGAGGTGTCAGAATGTGAGGGAAGAACTTCTCTTGGACATTGAACCTCTTTAACTTTCTGATGCCTCTAGCCCGGCTGTCACCTGACCGCAATCACATGAGAGAACAGCAAGTGAGAACCTCCTGGTTGAGCCAGTCTCCACAGAACCGTGAAGACACGAGGTTGTGGAGTCATTTGTTAGGCAAACTAGATAACAAGCACCTAAAATTCACAAAACTACTCTACATACATTCATTCATTCTATCTTTATGGCATAAATATGTTATTAGCTTCATATGTCACATGAATAACAAGAACACAAATTGTCCAATACTTTGCACAAAGCTTCACTAAGTGGTTTTTCTAATGTCAAAATACAAACTTTTTCCCCCCACTAGATTACAGTATGTCCGTCCCTTCAAACAGAGTAGGGACTGGCTTGAAAAATCTCCCTGCTATGACTCCTTGACTTTTTCATAGGCTGGCAATACAAAACTTCGCTTGCTCTGGTGAGATGATAGGGAAATTAACATATTCTTTTCCCAGCCTTTAACTTAGAAACAAACCAACTTTTTAGCCAACATTTCTCCTTCTGTGAATAATTACTTGATATATTAATATTATTTCATAAAATTTTATATAGTTAATCTTTTAAGTGATAGAAATAGATCCCTTCATCTAATTTTAAATAACCTTTTCTGGTTGAAATATCTGGATTTTGTACGACCATGCTAGAAAATTATTGACCAAGTACCAGTGGCTTCTTCTGATCAGTCAGGTACATATCCAAGTCTCTATACTAACTAAAAACAAACAAAACAAAACTTTGAAAATAAAATTGTTCATTTCATCTAATGTCAAATGTTTCAATTATGTTATTAAATTTTCAAAAGTTTAAAATAATAAGTTTGAAAATAAAATCATCAAGGAATCATTATTATTTAGGTATATTACTATTACCTTGGATATGTTTTTCAAAAACTGCTTGCCCTTTTAAGATAGAGATCACAATTTTTCCAAGTTAAATAATATGTTTCTGATACTTTCACCAAAATAATCTGGATTTAGGGTTAGTTAGAAATTGAAACTGAATGAAGGAGAAAAGAGTGATTCATTATTTTAATCTTTCTTTGTGTACATATGAATCTTTCCTTAATGAAAGGTTTTTTAAAAAATTAATGTTATTGTTCAGTGGTTGAGGGTCGAACTGTGAATCAGGAGGTCACTGTTTGATTCCCAGACAGGGCACGTGCCCAGATTGCATGCAGAAGGCAACCAGTCATTGATTCTCTCTCATTACTAACCTCTCTCTTAATTTCTGTCTCTCTCTTTCTCTCCCCTTCCTCTCTAAAATCGATAAAAATATATTTTTTTAAATTAATGTTATTGATAATTAATTTAATTACATAATTAAGTTAATGTAATTGATAATGTTATTGATAATCTGACTCCATTTTTATGTATAATACTTTCATCATTCAAATTTTAGTTTAGATGTAAACCTCAGAAAAAAATAACTGTAATTACAATCCCACAAATATAATTGAATCTCAACCTAACTCATTATTATTATATTTTAATGCTACAAGAAATAAATATATTATTATTCTATTTTAATGCTTCTATTGTACACTTTTATTTAATTCATTTTTATTTTATCAATAAAATTAAATTCCAGTTCTTTTTGGTAATTTTGAAAGATAAAAGTCTGTGAGATTTTACAGTTAGATCTGAAATAAATGCCAGTAGAGGATTAAAATTTAAAAGGATGCTGTCGTAAAATAGAAAAGTTAAGGTTATTAAGCTATAGGTGAATTTCCTTTATAAAAGAAGCACTTCATAGCATTATCAACCTACATGTCCAAAAGCAACCAATGAAAACCAGATCCATCAACATTTCACACTCACGAGTCAAAAGCAACCTAAACATTTTCATTTAAAAGCCAACTCTTCTTCCTATTTTCTATTTCTTTCAAATAAATCATTCTTTCTAATTGCAGCTCCAAATTTTTCATAAACTCTATAATGTCTTCTTCTCTTCTAGATGATGTCACTAAATCATTTACCATGTCCAATAGATTCTTTGAAAAATCCGCCCCCCTTGCGAATTCCCCCAATTTTCCCAAAGCAGACAGATTCCCCTTCATATTTACAGATGCCTATTTGTTCTTCCCTAGCATTTATCAGAGTGATAACATTGCTTAGCTCCAAAAAACTGAAACTTCCATAAGGGTGTTTTGTTTTTTTTTTGGTCTTCTTTGTGACTCACTGTATTCCCAGTACTTAGTTAAGTTTTATTTTGTAAGAGAGAAAAAAGAAAGAGGGGGTTAGAAAGACAGGAAAGGAGAAAGGTGGGAAAGGTAGTAATGAGGAGGGAGGAAGAGACAAAGAGAGGGAAAGGAAGTAGGAAAGGGGAGAGGAGGGAAAGGGAGAAAAGGGAGAAGAGGAGAAGGAAGGAAAAGGGAGGGGAGGAGAGAACCAGGAAGAAGGGCAGATTCTTTGCATTCTGTTCCCACCATCACTACCTAAAATTATAAACTCAATATTCTCTGGACCTGACAAATATCTAGTACATTTTTCACAGTCAACCAAAACTTCACTATTGTGAAAAATTCCCACCAAGTTGTAGCCCAATTATGTTTGAATTCCAGCAATAAAGAGAAACTCACTACCTCACAAAACAATTCATTCCACTGGCAAGAAACTCAAATCATCTGAGTTTGTTTTCCCCCAAAGGAGCCAAAGTCTCCCTTTCTGTAGATGTCACTCTTTAGTCCTGATCCCAGGATGTGGAAATATACAGGCACACAACTAATTTTTCTTCCAGAAGAGAGCAGTTCCTAATTTTGAATACTAGGATGATATCCATGTATCTATTGAACTTATTATCTCTCGAAGCTAAATATCACAGCCATTTCTCATGCAATGGCTCTGAGTTATGTGCTCATCTTGGTCAGTTTCATTAGTATATATTCATTTGATCAATATGACCAAGTGTGGTTTCCAGAACTGCTAATAGCACTTTAAGTGTGGCATACCCATTATCAGTAAATAAATTGTGCTCAGAGGAAAGAGATGCACCCCATCAGTCCTCACTCCCATTTTATGCATTTTAACTAATAACATATTGATGACATTGGATAAGTCTTTAATTACCATTGCTTTTGTTATCATCATTGTCTACATTCTCTTCTTAATTAAATTAGACATCTAGCTTTTTTTATTTATCTCTAATCCATCCCTCATTCTAACATATGTAGTCAGGTAAAAATTTTTCTAACAGAAACTTAATTGATCATTTCTCTGGTCAAAATGGGTCAATGGTTACAATGACCACAATTAAAATCAATGAATTACTGAAATTTATTGGACACCCTTACAACTCATGCTTCCACACTTAATTTTGCAAATTACCATGAAGTGTTATTTCAACTTCTCTCACTAGAAAAGGACCAAGGTACTTCCTTCATTCCACTGAGTTATAATATAGATAAACTCATTTTTTATTTCCTTGTGAGGATTTAAAATTTACTCTGCTTATTACCTGTACATCTTGCACAGGGATATAAAATTCTGAGGACATAAATGGTATCCACAACCTTGTTCTATAGACCTTCCAAGAATTACTGGACATCCCTCTCCATGATTCTGCCATTTTTAATGTCATACTCATTATCCTGCATAGTATTGATATAGACAAACAAAACTCCAATCCTTATATGATCACTACTGACAAACTCATAAAAGATAGTAAGAGGTGTTTTGCATTCTCTCACCTTACTGGAGACCCTTTATTTGGTGTCATAAGCCACAATCTGGAAAACCAAAGCTCTTTCTCAATACATTTACATGAGCCCAGACTTCTATTCTCCTTGTTCAAATGCCTCAGCACAGTGTGGTTCCATCCTAATCCCCGATTTACAAATATCCCTTTACAGTCCTTCTACTCCAAGCAGACCAAAGATCTCTTTGCTTCCCCCAAATAAAATGGCCATTTCCATGTTAAATCTTATCCAGCATTCATAGACTAGTCCACCAACCTACTATTGCTTTAACTGGAAGCTTTAAAACTTCTAAAACTATATTTTGCTGTTCAGTTGAACTATTTTGCTTAATTAACTTGGGTTTATATGTTTATTTTTGAATTTTTCAATTACTCTTTAAGACTGTAGATTTCTGGCCGGGTCCAGTTTGGCTCAATGGATAGAGCGTCGGCTTGGGGACTGAAGGGTCCCGGGTTCGATTCCGGTCAAGGGCATGTACCTTGGTTGTGGGCATATCCCCAGTAGGGGGTGTGCAAGAGGCAGCTGATCGATGACTCTCTCTCATCAATGTTTCTGGCTTTCTATCTCTCTCCCTTCCTCTCTGTACAAAATCAATAAAATATATTTAAAAAAAAAAAAGACTGTAGATTTCTGCAGGGCAATAATCATTTCCCCTTCTTTATAAATATCTCTAATGTCTAATAAAGTGTTCTGCAAGCAGCAGGTAATAAAAATATGAATGAAAATTAAACTGAGGAAATAGCTAAGAACATTCTAAAAGGCTTATAGCCAACCTCTAAATTTATGAGA